AAAAAAAAAAAAAAAAACAAATGCGATTTTGCTAACTCAAAGTTTGTGTAACTAAATTCTGTCAGCATTGTATTGATCCAGCAATTTTTAGTTCAAAAACCTGATTAGTTTTAAAATAAATTAGATCTTACTGGTTAGGCAATGGTGGCCTGCAGGACAGCATATGATACATAGTCAGTTCTAGTACTACATAGTGAAGATGTTGTTTCAAAACAATACCTGAACATGCATTAATTACTTTTGTTGTTTTTTATTATCAGACAGACAATTTTTGAGGTTTGTTTAAAAAAAAAAGGATGTTTTGGTAATCTGTGAACTATAAAATAAATAAATAAAATAACAATAATGATAATAATAATAAAGAACATCTACTGCTGGGTGCCAGTTTGATCCCCAGAACCCACACTGGGGGCACACCAATACCATAGCATGAGTTCCACCAGATTCAGCAGTATGCCCTTTCTTTTATAGAGCAGCACATGATCACAGAAAGTGCCCCAAGCCAAGCTGGCCAGCCAGACTATCAGAGATAGCAAGCTCTGAGTTCAGTGAATGACCCTGGCTCAGGAAAGAAGTAGAGTGCAATGAAAGAACATATCCAGTATCAACCTTGGGATTCCAGAGCTCACACGCACATATGTTCACACACACAGGAAGATGCAAATTTATACCACATATACATGCCAAAAAAAAAAACCAGTTAGCTTAATACCTAACTCAGATGTGTATGTACACACATCCATGTGCATATACACATTCATATAATGCCTGAAATGCAATGTGGCCCATAGCAGGTACACCTGAAATTCTGACTATCTCAATCAATCCTGTTCTTGCCCTTCTGCCACTGAACTCCATAAGTCAGGAAAGGGAAAGGATGAGGGACTCCAAAGAGTAGAATGAAGACCACCGGGAACAGCAGCAAGGAATATAACCTCCTACAGTAGACACCTGTATGACAGAAAACATTAACTTACCATTTCCCTGACTAACCACCCCCAAATTCCACTATAAGAGTAATGTTTTTGTTTCTGAAATCCATTCCACTCTAGTTCCTCCAGGACCCTGGAACATGATTCCTAAATCAATACAAGAAAGAAAAAAGATAACAAGAGACTTAAAGGCCTTTCAGGAAGAATAAAAGGGTACAACCAAGTCTTGAGGAAGATAGGGTAATTTCTAATCAATAGCAGACATCTCATCTCTTTTTCTTTGAGATACTATATACTCACTGTACACTTAGTTGACATGGAACTTGATACACAGAACTCACAGTGATCCACCTGAATGCTGAATTTAATACTCAGCCTTGACACTTTTTTTATTATAATCGAATGATTCCTAAGAATAGGATGACATAAATACTTATCTTTACGGCCAAGCCTTTAATATTCTTTTAACAATTCTAAATATTCAAGTTGTTTTCAGGAGAGCATATGAAATTTAAAGTGTTTTATATAATCAATTCCAAAACTAAATATCCCTATAGATTATTTTTTATTAAAATTAGAACCTCTAGAACTTTGAAATCTGCTGTCTTAGTTACTCTTCTACTGTAGTGAATAAACACCAAACTTATACAAGAGAGTTCTTAATTGTGGGCTTGCTTATAGTTTCAGAGAGTTAGTCCATAACCACCACTGCAGAGTATGGAAAAATCAGGCATAGTGCTGGAATGGTAGCTGAGAACTTATATTCTGAGCCACCCATAAAAGGCAGAAAGAGACCAGGCCTGGCTTGGGCTTTGAACCCTCAAAGCCCACTCCTAGTGACACACCTCCTCCAATCAGCTCATACTTCCAAATCCTTCCTAAACAATCCACTAACTAGGATGCAACATTCAAATATATGAGCTGTGGGGGCCATTCTCAGTTAATCCACCACATATGCATTAAGAGTTAAGTAAAATAGAAATTTAACAATTTTTTTTTTTCTGGTAGTGAAAGTCCAGACTGGCCCCAAAATCTAGCCAATGATGACCTTGAATTCCTGATCCTCCCGCCTCTACTTTCCTGAGTGCTAGGAACACAGGAGTACACAAGCACATACTACGTGTAATGCTATAAACTGAACATGGGTTTCAAGCATGCTAGGTAAGCATTCTATACACTAAGCTACAATCCTGAACTCAAGAAAGCTTTTATTACACAAGAAAAAAGGAAACAATGAGGGCTGGAGAGATGGCTTAACAGTTAAGAACACTGGCTGTTTTACCAGACGACCAGGGTTTGATCTGAGCCCCAACATGACTGTAGCTGTAATTCCAGTCCAGTCCCAGGGGAGCCAGTGTCCTCTTCTGGCTTCCACTGGCATAGGATCGCATGTGGTGCACAGACATACACACAGGCAAAACACTCATACACATAAAATAATTTCTTAAAGTATACAATAATATATAAATTACTTCAAATTGAAAATGACCTATAACTTTCTTTACCAAATAAAAAGAGTAAATATCAGGCTGGAGAGATGGCTCAGTGGTTAAGAGTACAAGCTGCTCTTCCAGAGGTCCTGAGTTCAATACCCAGGAACCACATGGTGGCTCACAACCACTATAATAGGATCTGATGCCCTCTTCTAGTGTGTCTGAAGAGAGCAATGGCATACTCATATACGTAAGATGAATAAGTAAATCTTTAAATTTTTTTTTAAAAATAGTGAATATCAAAGTTCAAGTGTTATATATAAACCAAACATATATTTCTTTACATTCAAGATTTATACAATGACTCTAGGACAGCCAGAGCTACACAGAGAAAGCCTGTCTCGAAGGAAAAACAATTTTTTACGTAATAAAAATGTAATGAACTACTAATAAGAGGACAGACACATAAAGGTGGAATATAAAAACTTGAAGGTAGTATCCTCGTCAGGGTTATTATTGCTGTGATGAAACACCATGACCTAAAACAAGTTGAGGAGAAAAGGGTTTATTAGTGATGGATCACAGTCCATCACTGAAGTCAGAACAGGACTCAAAGTGGAGGCAGGAGCTGATGCAGAGGCCAAAGAGTGGTGCTGCTTACTGGCTTGCTGTTTAACGGTTTGCTCAGCCTGCCTCCTTACAGATAGTCCTCAAATACAAAAAGTCTCAATATCAAAAGGAAAAGAGATAAAGATGTTTACATCAAAATTTCTGTGCCATATTAGGCAGCGGGTAGGGGGGTGGCTAGGGGGTGGCTTCAAGAAGGGTTCTTTGGTCAAATAACTAATTTTCTCTTTTTGGCCTTATTTAGGAATTCTCATAAACCATGTCTGAAATGATGGTTGCATAGGGGAAAGAATTAAAAGAATGTGCCAGAATTGTGTTATATAACTTTTATAATTAAAACAAGATTGACTCATAGAAACTTCAGTAAGTTTACTCTGATGAATGGAATTCTGGATTTAAAATAAAGAAAAATTAAGTTTATTATTCTACACAGCCCGTAACTGCTACCAAATTGTGTCATTTGACATAGGGAAACAACAAATTTGAACAATGTCAGAGAAAAATGTGATTATAACACTATTTTATGTACAACAAAGGAATTTTTTCAAGTAATTTTGCATCTATTTTAATTTCCATACTGATTATAGAACCAAACCATCGAAAAAATGTACTTTAAACACTTTAAAACTGAATTATTTTCTAGAAACATTTCACAGCATTATTTTCCACAGAAACACTTGTAAAATGGGTTTTGCTATACAAAGTCAATACTGTGTTTATTACTAAGTATGAGTGGCATGTTGAAATTATAACATGAATTATACTGCATATTTTAACTTTTAATAATTTCAAAAAAGACATATTTACTCAAATCATATTATAAAAAAATGCTACATCAAATTAGAAGATTCATTACATTTCAAATAAAAGTCATAGCACAGATTACAAAGATAAATTGCCATAAAGGTAGGGCCATGGTGGCCACATCTTTAATCCTAGCACTCAGGAGGCAGAGGCAGGTGGACCTCTGTAAATTCAAAGCCAGCCTGATCTACAGAGGGAGTTAGTTCCAGGACAGCCAAAGCTACATAGAGAGACTTGACGGGGGCGGGGGGAGAACACATCATAACCTTGCTTCCCTGATCCTCCTGTGCCAAGTGCTAGGATTACAAAGATGCACTACACCTACACAGGGTTCAGACAGTCTTGAGAAGCTATCCCAGTGCCTCCTGGGTATTAGGTAAGCAACTATTGCCTGAGCTACCTCATCAGCCCTCGAGACATTCCACAATACAAATTTCTACTTATGGAAGTATAAAGTATAAAACATTTTTGTGAGTCAATGAAGAAAATTTAAAAAAACAAACTAACCTAATGCCCTAAGAATTCACTTGGTTTACTTTTTCTATTTCTAGAACCATAACTTGTATCACTAAATTTGAGTGCATTTTTCCTGAATATCTTTAATCATGTCATCTTGATAATCAAAAAGCCATCACCAGCTTCTCACTTTACATTCAGTTCAATCTAACTCCTTAAAAATAGCATTTAAGAGCCGGGCGGTGGTGGCATATGCCTTTAATCCCAGCACTTGGGAGGCAGAGGTAGGCGGATTTCTGAGTTCGAGGCCAGCCTTGTCTACAGAGTGAGTTCCAGGACAGCCAGGACTACACAGAGAAACCCTGTCTCAAAAAAACAAAAAAATAAAAAATAAAAAAATAGCATTTAATGTTATCCATAATTTGGTAACAATAACATCCAGTTGATACCCTCTTGATTCCTTTTGCCCACACTACTCTTCAACAAGAATTGTTGAAAAGCTGGCTGATTTAAGCACCAAGTTCAATTCTTACCCTTCAGCGAGCAGTAGAGTCCCTTGTTCAAGTCACCAAAAGCTTTCTACCTATCCTGACTGAAAAACTGCCTGGCTTAGTGTATTTGTGCTTGGACATCTTGATCCAGTTCATCTATTTCTCTATGTGTTTTCACAAGAGTTTACTGTTTCCAGTTTTTCTGAAACTCTACCTGCCTTATCCAAAAGAAAGCCTGAATTTTAAAGTCCTTCCTCATCAAAATCTCAGCAAAAATGGAAATCAAATATGTAAGACATACATTAAATACATAACATAAATTCAATATGTAAGCTTTATAAAGATTTTATTTCCATGAATACTACAATATTTACAAAAAATCATACTTAAAAAAATCTACACGTTTTATGTAAACATGATCTTTGTTATTTTCATTCTGAGTAATTTTCATTTTGTTTTATTCTAAGTTTACTATGAAGAAAGTATTTCCCAGAAAGACATTTAAAATGAATTAAGATAATCTTACTCACATGGTGAAAATATGTAATATTTTTAATAAAAATACTTGATTTCTTTTAGCAGAACAAAAAAGAGGAGAACGTGGGATAGATACAATTCCCCTGGCTTTCCTAACCCAATGATGTATAAAAGTCAGGGTTTTTTTGTCACCTGGGGATGGGACCTGAAACAGGCCAGGAAAGTGTTCTACCCTTAAGCTATATCTCCAACCAAAAAGTGGTTTTAATTAAATAAATTCTCCTAGATCTTTATTTCTATAGAATAAATAAAGAATAAAAGTTACCACTACCATTCCCTTCCCCCACCACCTCCCCCAAAACACTAAGTACTCATAACTTACTCTGCCGTAAAAAACTTTGACACCTGGAATAAATTATGGAGCCCTCCCTGGCCCTCAGTTTCATTATGTCTAAACTGAAGAGTTTTCCAAGAATCTTCAAACTCTAAGTTCTACCACCACTCTTTCAAAAGATAAGGACAATGCCAATGTCATGCATACAAGTTTTTTGTTACTGTTAGTTTAACAGAAACTTATCATCTCAGTATTCAGAAGGCTGAGGCAGGAGGAACTTATATTACAGGCTAGCCTGAGCTACATAGTGAGATCTTGTCTCCAAAAAAGAAAAAATAGTAATAGGAATGAATGTAGCTCAACAGTAAAAGTATGTGCTTATCATTCATTAGGTAGCTTCCAACACTCACTCTCTCTTTCTCTCTCTCTCTCTCTCTCTCTCTCTCTCTCTCTCTCTCTCTCTCTCAACTCTAACTTTTAGTCATAACTAAAACTGTTAAAGATTCAATTCTTTGAAGTAATATGTATGCATTTACACAATTTTGTAAATTTTGTTGTTTAACACAGGATTTCACATAGCACAGGCTGTCCTTGATATTGGTATGTAGCCAAGGCTGGCCTTCATCTTCTTCTCATCTGCCTCTACCTCCCAAGTGCTGAGGTTACAGACTTATGCAGCAGATGCAACTCTATCTGCATTATTTTTTATAATTAAAAGATCTTATATGAGGCCAACAGTTAAATGTCTCAGAAAAAAAAAAAAAATGAGGGAAGGTAACAAACCGGATTACATGTCAGCCGATCAGGAAATGATAGTATCTAAAGAGAAAATTAAATACTTAGAAAATTGTGTTTAAAAAAAAAAAATAGGGCCCGAGCATAGAGCAGGTCACAGGCAGCAGCTCTGTACCCAACCCCAGAAAACCGAGAGAAAGAGGGACTCCCAGGAGCTTGAACTCAGGCAGCATCCCAGATAAAAATGAATCACCTGTGATGTCTGCTGTTAGAAGTTCTAATCCAGATGCTGGCCTCCGAACTTATACTACTCAGACCTTTGAAGGGCCACTGACAAGAACATCAAACAGCTAGAGATTGACATCACTAATCTGAAGAAATCCCTCGTTTTGCTGTCTGAAGAGACCTCCTAAAATCACAAAGATCCTTATTGGACTTGATTTACTCTAGCACAATAGAAAAGGCTGTGTACAGCTCTTGACTGTGTACAACCCTCAAAGAAGAAGGTTGCCTTTACATAGACAAGACAGGGAGGGTTAAAGAGAGCATGAAATAGGTAGTGAAGGCCCTAAGAAAAATCAGAGAGAGAAAGAGACAGATGAATGCTGGTACAAGAATTGGTTTTCAGCCTCTCCAAGGTTGTCAACCCTATTTCCTTCCATCTTGGGACCATTATTTGGATTCTTTTTGCTTATTTCTGCTGGTCCCTGGCCCTCAAATAGGTGGACTAACTCTGTGATACAACAGATAAATAATTTGGTAGCAAAACCTATTCAGATACATTATCATAAGTTAGCTATGGAGGACCACGAGACTCAAGATGAGGTTGTTACTTTATACAGGGTGTTTCCAAAACCCATCTCCACCCAACCTAAAAGGGGGGACTTCTACCCCTAGACCAAGCAGAGAGAGGCCACCCAGAACCCCCTCTGACAGGCGATCTGAATTCTTGCTTAGGCTGCGAGGCTAAGCACTGCAAGGGAATATAAATAAAAGATAAAAATATCTATCTGGGTTCCCTGAGGGACAAGCCTGACTGCATAGGGGTTGATGTCAAAAGTATTTCCTCTCCAGGAAAAAGACATCGGGACGGGTATGGCCCTCATGCCTCACTGGACAATGACAGGGGGACCGGAGCCATTACAAGGTCCCCTTCAAATACTGGAGGTCAGGCCTCTATCCCCACCTTTATAAGTTTAGAATTGCCACAGCCCTTCTTATACTTAGAGAAGGGAGGAGATGTCAGGGGCAGCCCTGCTTACACACTGTAGGCCTAAAATCAGCCATAGGCCTAAAATCAGCAATAGGCCTGTCATACATGTATACTAACACCAAGTCTTGGGTCTCAGTGGAAAAACATTAAAACAGATGGCTATAAGCTAATGTCAACAGGCAGCTTTTGTGGAAATTTATAAGCCTGAGCAGTCACAGACCTTGTAAATAGGTAGCCTTGGCAGACAATACCAAGTTAGATAAGGACAAGCAAGTCATAGGCAGAGTCATAGTGAATTGTCCCCTGAACTTTCACCTAGCCAATACCCAGTTCTGAAGATATCTGTATTCCCCCTGAACACCCACACTCCAGTGTCATTCCCTTCCCCATATCATGCCTTTCTGTGTTTATAACCCCTGTGTGAAATAATTACGATTTGAGAAAAAAAAAAAAAAAGAACATCTCCAAGAATAAAGAATAAATTCAGAAAGAGAAGACGCACATAATCAACTTCAGGAATGAAATCGGGACTGTAGATGTGCTACTCAGCCATTAACCAAGTAACAAAAAAGAAATATAGAAAGATTTATAGTCACGAATACAATATCTTAGAGGAAACAGACCAATATCTCAAACTTCACTGACTATTTGTATCACCTATGGGTTTGACTAGATCATTCTGTTGTCTTATGTTTCTGTTTCTAATGAGACTTCAAGTGACTGTGTTCTTCTAAACAAAAAAAATAAAAATAAAAAAGGTAAAAAAAAAATAAAATAATAGGTTCAAGGCCAGTCTGGTCTACAGAGCTAGTTCAAAGACAGCCAGGGCTACACAAAGAAACCCTGTCTCAAGAAAATAAAAAAGAGCAGTTAAGAAGAAAAAGAAGAAAATCATGTCAAAAGCTTTTTTATAAGAGAGATTAACATTTTTATAGGGTGTGTGCTGAGCTTCATGATACTCCAAAATTAAAATAATTCTGAAAAAATTAAAATTATCAAATTCCAAGACTGGAAGCTTCTTAGAGACTACTGTATTCAGGCAGATCATGCCGTAAGCGAGTTGCTTTCAGCTTCTCTACTTCAATCTTTGCTCTTAGCAGCTCCTCCTCCAGCCGCTGCCTTCTTTTCAATCCATCCCTCTTCTCCTGAACATACAATCCAAAATTCTTTTGATTTTCTAAGATTATCTGATGTTCCTCTTTTAACATTTGCAGGACCTGAGGGTCACATCTTAGCAGAGACCTAAAGTGTTCTCCACTTTCCTGATGAAAAATATCATCTCTCCTCGGGATAGAAGATGGAGATGATGTCATTCTCATATCAACAGAAGAAAGAGATGGAGACATGGATCCTTCCACAACATGCATTAATTCCTGCTCTTCTCTTTGCTCTAAAGTATCATTGAGTTGAGGATTTGAAACCAGGGGAGGAGATGGCTTAATGTCCTCTTCTTGCTTCACCTCTACAGTGATAGCAGCAGGATGGTGGTCCACCATTACCTGCAGTGAACTGGTCCCAGCTTGGGCAGCCTCATCCAAGTTTGCACTACAGCACATTAAAAAAAAAAAAAAGCATTATGAACAATAAGCATAATATATTTATAGCACAATCTCATATTTACATATTTAATATTTGATATTAATATACATTTAACTATACATCTTTGAATAGAGGGTAGTGGCACATACCTGAAACCCCAGCACTTGAGTGGTAGAGACAGGACAATCTCAAGTTCCAGGACAGTCAGGGCTACATATCACACCCTATGTCAAAAGAACAACCAAACAACCACAATAAAAACACCTTTAATCCCAGCACTCAGGAGACAGAAGCAAGTGAATTTCTGAGTTCAAGGCCAACCTGCCCTAGTCTGCACAGTGAGGCAGGGCCACACAGAGAAACCCCACCTCAACCCCACCCTCCAAATAAAGCTGTGGGTTTGTGGGGGGGGGGGGGGGTTGTTTTTGTGGGGTGCTTTTTTTGGGGTTTTGTTTGTTTGTTTGTTTGTTTGTTTGTTTTGGGAGTACCCTCTCCTCTTTGTAGAGGGCCCTTTTTTGAGTGTCTGCTGTACACATGTTTCCTTACCCCCAATAAATGCCTTTCTTCAACTGCTGATTCTATTGTTGCTATCTGAGATGTTTGAGATTTTTCTGCTACCTGTTGCACCTCAAGAATTTTCCTACCACCGGGCAGTGGTGGCACACACCTTTAATCCCAGCACTTGGGAGGCAGAGCCAGGTGGATTTCTGAGTTCGAGGCCAGCCTGGTCTACACAGTGAGTTCCAGGACAGCCAGGGCTACACAGAGAAACCCTGTCTCGAAAAAACCAAAAAGAAAAAAGAAAAAAGAAAAAAGAATTTTCCTGCCTTCTAATTCTTTAGTTGGCATTGAAAATGAACCTGATCAAGACCTCTAGACAATTACACAGTTGTGAGCTGCCATATAAGTGCTAAGAGTCTCTCCCCGCCACCCGCCGTGTGTGTGTGTGTGTGTGTGTGTGTGTGTGTGTGTGTGTGTGAGTGATGTGGACACATGAGTGTGGGTCCCCACAGAGACTCACAGACATTGTCAGGTATTCTCTTCCACTGCTCTCTACGTTTTCTTTTTTGACGTAGAGTCTCTGAACCTGACACTCATCCACTGGGCTAACGTAGCTGGTCAGTGAACTTCAGGGATCCACTTGTCTCCAGTGCAGGGGAAACTGCCATTTTTAGCTTTTCCTATATGTTCTAGGGATCTGAACTCAGATCCTCATGCTTACATGGCAGGCACTTTACTAATAGAACCATCTCCCCAGACTTAAGTTTAAAAAAGCACACTTTTCTACCTTTCTTTCTTTCTGTGTATGGAGGTCAGAACACACTATACAGGAGTTGGTCCTCTCCTCCTTCCCTCCACCATGCAGATACTAGCATCAAAGGCAGGTCCAATTTGGCAGCAGACGCCTTTACCAACTGAGGCACCTCGTGAGCCCAGAAAAGCCAGTTTAATGTTCTCATTAATTGTCCCTACACTGCGGAGGTTCTTAGATGCTCTAGAAGTCATTTGATATGTTCTCTTGCTTCTGTCCTAGACTTATCTACAAATCATAAAAGTTGATGACTCTGAGGAAGATAGTAAACCACTCTCTTCAGGACCAACCACTGCTATTTCAGAACTGTAATGTTGCTACTGTTAGGAATTGTAATTATCAGATATGTGACCCCCTAATGGAGTCACGACCCACAGGGTGAGAACCTCGGATCTAAACTAAAGTCTGGAGCCAGAAAAGGTTAAAACTATAAATAAAAACTGTTTTAAATCATCTTCATAATTTTTACTGCAAAGTAGTATGTAGCATATAAATATAGGCATTATAATCCCATACAAATTAAAAATATGTTTATACCTCGATTATTCATTCCATTTTGGTGAAACATTATAAGTAATAAAATATAATACTAGAAACAATATCTTAGAAAAGATAAACAGAAATAGAAATTTCTAAAAACTAAAAATCTAAATAAATTTAGAGGATCAAAAAAGTTATAAAATATAAACTACTTTCTAGTTTTAGAGACATAAAAAATTTTAACAATCATTCTAAGTTTATAAAGTTAGAAAATACAATAGATATTTTTAAAACTATATAACATGTACAGTAAAATTTCCTAGTAAAGAATCTATATGGCCAGGCAGTGGTGGCGCACGCCTTTAATCCCAGCACTTGGGAGGCAGAGGCAGGCGGATTTCTGAGTTCAAGGCCAGCCTGGTCTACAGAGTGAGTTCCAGGACAGCCAGGGCTACACAGAGAAACCCTGTCTCGAAAAAACAAACAAACGAAAAACAGAATCTATATTTGTATAAAAATATAATCAAACATAGATTTATGAACTTCTGAGATAATTAGGATTTGATATGAGCTCAGCTAAATATATATATGAGATAAATACATAAATTTATTAAATGAATAAGCTAGCAGAATATCAATGTAGATACTAACATTAAGTGGCATATCTTTCACATTTTTCCTTTTATAAAACCTAATAAACCGTGTTATTTCAACAACAGATCAGAAATATACAAATTACCTAGCTCATTTCTACCAGAGAAATGTTGGTGTGTCAAAAACTCATGTGTGTGTGTGTGTGTGTGTGTGTGTGTGTGTGTGAGAGAGAGAGAGAGAGAGAGAGAGAGAGAGAGAGAGAGAGAGAGAAAGGTATGATCAAAATTAAACAGGTACCTACTTATGTACTCTTCTGTATTCAATGTATTTTTTAATTATGCCACTAACTAAAATCACAGTATCTATGTGTCATTTTCAAATTATAAAAATCCAAATTTAATACCCAAAAGGTATAGTTTTATACCAATAAAACAAAAGCCATTTTCTTCAGGCTATTTTTGAAAAAGGCAAAATTCAAAACAAGTAGTACAATGTCAAACACTTTTACTGTAGAGATTATCCATCCAACACAGAATCTCACTGCCATCACAGTGAAAATTTCTAACAGTGGTTGCAAGAATTAGCCCACTGCACAACCAAGCCCTGAATTCCCAGATGCAGTGATTTCTTTTTTTTACATCTATGCTATCACGAAGAAATAAGCAGTACAGGGTAAAACACTAAAAAATATTTTTTAATGTAACCAAAACAACAGACAGGCTCAGCTAAAAAGTTTTCTCCCCTAACTTAAAAAAGTTCCACAGGTAATCAGGAATTCTGCTTATGTAAAGCCTCTCCAGGAGCAACAAAGCACACTGAATCTTTGTTTGAAAGGGCTTTCAACTAACAAAGACTTTGCAGTTTGTGTAAAGTACCCTAACTGATTCAGTAGAAGAAAAGAGCTGCCATTTTTATCTTATGCCAAGATTAAATTTAAATTAGTCACAGGTAACAGCTTTTAAGATTCTTAGGCAATAATTATACTAACTCAAAATTGTTTTCAACCCCTATTCCAGGTTGCCCTTATTAAAACTGAGTTTTATATCTTACAGAGAGCAGTATGAGAAAAGTTACCCTTTCCTATGACCCAATATCAAAGTGAAACTAGACCATTAATCAATTATACTTTATTCTGTTATATAACCTGAACCTCTTAATTAGGTATTAAGCTCCTTTAGTTAATGTTTCTATCTTATCAATTTCAAATATACTAGAGAAACAAAACAGTCTTCACAAACACAATCATGTCATCAATGAGTTTAAGTTTTGATACTTTAGTGCATATTCAGGAAATATACACAAAAATAATTCATAAAAAAAAAAAAAACAAAGTTCCCATTTGCTCCCAAAACTATTAACTTCATATAAATTTTATGTAAAAAAATTTTTAAATCATTTCAATGACATGTTATCTTAAAAAAGAATAATTTATCACAGAAGCAAATAATCTAATTTTAAGGTTTACAAGTTTATGAGGTACAATCAAAGTACATAATAAATGTGTGAAAAATGTCATAATAAACCGATTATTTTGTACAACATATGCTATTAAATCTTTAAAGTTCATTTAGTGATGTCACAAGCTTCATCCCATTCATTTTTCCTTAACCTTTACCTCTAGAAACTACAAGATGAAAGAGGGAAAGTAGCTTAAATCTAACAGAAAATTCCTCAGAGTTTTACCTTTTTTTTTTTTTTTTTAAGAAAGCAAAACAAAGACACTGTTCACGTCTCCCCTTGTGGGGACGCTTGCTATGCACATGTCTAGCACAACTAAGCCCAAGAGATAGGAGGCGCCATAATTCCCACAACAAAATAAAATAAAGCTTACCTTTGTATGTGGTTCCTGTCTCTTATCAGGCAAAAGCTGGCAATCTGGGGAATCATCTCCATAACTTTCTTGGTTGGCTCGGAGATAGTGCTTTTAAACTCTGACTGGGCCTCCCTTTGCTGCAACAGCTCCTGTTTGGCATATTCTTTGAGCCTTTTGTAAAGGCTGCGTAGGCCCTGAGCTGTGCGAGGAGGGCGGTCCACTCCAGTTGCATTATAGTTAACTGCTATGACATCCCAGCATCTATTCTTCTCCACTATTACTGAATTCTTGTTAGTGTGCTCTTCGAGAATTTTCACATATGGCTTCACAAGGTTTAGCAAATCAAGCTTTTCAGATAAGGTAAAATTGGAAGACCTAGCCTTTCCTACCATTGTTCTTTTGGAATTAAGTAGGCCGTTTCTGAAACCACCATGCAGCCTTCAGCTCTGCTCAGCTCTTTTCACAAACAGAAAGATCAGGCTTAACTAGGCTAGCCTCATTTAGGCCCACGCCTACAGGGGAGGGCTTATTAAAATTCCTCCAGCTTAAGCTGACGCAGGTTCGGGAAAGCTGCTTAAGCCAAGCCTGACCTACATAAAGCTTCTCACAGAAGACAGGGAAGCACAAGCAAAACACACTGGTGTAGAAAGGGAGCAGCTCAAGATAGGATTTAATGCACAAAGGTCTAGAGATAAGCATGAAACACAGCTTAAAATTAGCTAATTTAGTGAGAATATCAAATTTCCACACATGTATGCCTGGCAGAGGGGCTGAAACAGCACTGCAGAACCACTTTAATAAAAACAAAAGAGGAACTGTTCTGTGTTATTTGTTTACAAATCTAGTAGACCGAAAAATATAAGACACCAGGGGTGAGTGTAGTGATTCCTGACAAAGCTCCAATCACTGTTTCTGAGCTGGGTGTTCTCCCTTACAAAATCTGCATACAGCTAGTCCTGCTGTCAATCAGGAATTGCATACCCTCTAGCTAGTTAGGTTACACCAGCTCAGACTGCAGTAAAGCTAAGCTTCCTCTTCAGTGCCAGCGCAGTATCCTCTGCATAATTTTGTTATTCAAGGACAAATTTTTACTGAATACTAGATATAAAAACCAGATTAAAAAATTCATTATTATTCTACCTGTACCGTTTGTAAATATACTAGCTTGCTTTATCATGAGTAAAAATTAATGGTGAGAAATGGCATGATCATGTACAAACAAAATCATATTTCTATTAAAGTAATATTTTTTGTTTATCTAAATCACACAACATGGACCATGAAAAGAAACACCTAATCTAGCTATGAGTTTTCAGTTTCATCCTAGTTTGAAGCATATAATCACCATGAAAACAAAACAAGCTTATTTTCTCTTATGTGTTTGTCCAGATAGGGGATTACTTGAAACATATGTGAAAGACTTGAGGTGCAGCAAGTGCTTAACATGTTCAAGGCCCCAGCTTAAATCTCCAGCGCCTCAAGACTAAAGAAATAGGTAAATAAAACAAAACTTGAACATATAATGATTCAGTCAAAGACTGGCAAGACAGTCCATACGGTGAAAGCACCTGCTGCCAACGCTGCTGACCTGAGTTGGATCCCTAGGAGAAAATCAACTCTCAAAGCTGCAGGCGCATGCAAGTAAGCAAATAAAGAAATGTTTAAGAAGAGCAACTCTATAGAACAATTAACCAAACCTGTACCAATGTTCCTCAGCTCAGCACAAGTCCCCAAAACTGTAAAGGTAGATCTAGATACAGCTGCTTTGTAGAAGCAGGAGTGCACGGAAGTGCTACAGATGTCTCCTGGTGCACGGGGCCTTTATGACTGCTGGACACATGCTGGACCCCTGACCTACAACCCAGCCCCTAAAGTTATTTACTTTGTTTTCATTTCTTCAATCAAGAAGCAAACTTAACTTGCTGAATTCTCACTTTGTTGAAACTGTTTGCTGTTGATTTCAGACAGTCTCCCTATATAGCTTAAATTCTCAATGTAGCCTAGGCTAGCCTCCAACTTATGATTATTCTGAGTGCTAGACAATAAATATATACAAACAAGATCAATGAGCCTAGCAAAATGCAGCAAGCAGCAAGCTCTAAATGTATTATCTGTCAAAAAAGTAGAAAAAAAGAAAAGGAATAAAAGCTGGGTATAGTGCTTACCTGCCCAGGGAAGAAAACAGCACAAGTTCAAAGACAGACTGGGCTATATATAACAAGTCCTTGAGTCAAGAGACAACATGAGCTGATGAAATAGTTCAAGCAATAAAGTACCTGTCTGTCATTCAAGCATGAAATCCAGAGTTCAGTTCCCCACCACCCGTATATGTACGCTTTTAATCCTAGCAGAGACGGGCAGATCTCTGTGAGTTTGAGGCCAGCCTAGTCTACAGAGCTAGTTGCAGGAGAGCCAAGGCTACACGAAGAAACTCTGTCTTTAAAAACAAAACAAAACAAAAAACTGGATAGGCATAGCAACCTACCTGTAATCCCTGAATTTAGGAAGCAAAAACAGGATTCCCAGAGTAAACTGGCTAGCTAAATTAGCCCAATCTGAGAACTTGCCTCTGTAAATAAAGTAGAGATCAATAGTGGAAGAAGACAGGACACCAACTCTAGCCTCCTCACACATGTAGCCACCCGAACAAGTTCCCACAGACATGCAGATATGAATGCACATATACACATAACATACACATGCAAAAAAAGAAAAGGAAAGGAGATTTCTAAATATTAACTCAGTATACTTAAAAAACCACATTAGACAAAAATACATACTCTGTAATTCCTATTGTGCTGATATTTGGGATCCAACACAGATATTTCTAAGCACAGTACTCCATCTCTAAGTTCTGTGAAATAAAAGGCAATCTCAGAACAGAACTCTTTCTCTCATCCCTAAGGACAAGGAGGCATTCCTCTGGCATATCTGCTACATATGCACTACATATGCACTATACTTTCTATATCTCCCGTTTTCTCACATTAGGAACATAATTTTGTGCAGCTTGGAATAAAGTAGAGTCTGCAATTCAGGAGCCAACCAGAGGCAGCTCAGAAGTGAGCTAACCTCAAAGCAGGCGTTGATATGCTAATTAGCTAGATACAGGATGGCACTGATAGGCTAATGAACCAGCCCTTACCTTAGCTGTGAACCCTGATTACATAAAACTAATGCCAGATTTGGAGGCTATCCTAGGAAGCACTGCTGTGCTCCTACTGTGCTCCTGAGACATGGCATCTCAGCCCTCTGTGCTAGTTTATTCATCTGCAAGAGGACTTTGAAACTGGCCACTGTGCAACTGACTTCAGGAAGCTGAGGCAGGAGGATTACAACAAATCCAAGGCCAGACTGTGCTATAAGATGGTGACAGAAAAAAAAAGGGTTGAGATCAGGCTAGTGCCTGTTCTAAGTTACTGTATATTGTGTAAAAGTAGTCTTTCAGGGGCTGGAGAGATGGCTCAGTGGTTAACAGCACTGACTGCTCTTCCAGAGGTCCTGAGTTCAAATCCCAGCAACCACATGGTGGCTCACAACCATCCGTAATGAGATTGGATGCCCTCTTCTGGTGTGTCTGAAGACAGCTACAGTGTACTCATAAATAAAATAAATAAATAAATCTTAAAAAAAAAAAAAAAGTAGTCTTTCAGGCTATACCTTCTGCAAGCCTCCATGTTACAAGCAGCTTTTGACTCAATCATGAAAGTGGAAAAACTGCATTCCTGAGAGCTCTGTGGTCAAGCTCCACAAAAGTAAATAAATAAAAAGATTCATACGAATGACAAGAGAAGACAGTATAAAACAGAGCTGTGTCAGGTTCAGTGGCACATACTACAGCCCTAGCAGAGACAGAGCTGGATCAAAACTTTAAGGCCAGCTCAGGCTACACAATGAGATCGTTTCTCAAATTTTTAAAAAGAAATATTGAAGCTGGAAGAAATGGTACACATCTGTAATTCGAGCCCCTTGGGAGGCTGAAACAGGGGGATCACAAGTCTGAGACCTCATGCAAAAATAAATAAATTTAAAAGGAGAGGTTAAATCTCTTTCTGTAGGAGGTATGTAAGTCTTTGTGCTCACAGATGAGCAAGCACTAGAGGATTAAACACATGGAGTTGTCTTTGGTCCCGAGAAGGCTGGGACCAAAGGTGGTTAATAGCCTGGTGACCTTTGTGCTGAAACCACACCAGACTGCCCCAGTCCCTTATCTGGCGTTTGTTTGTCTCAGTCAATCTATAAGACTATCTTCCCCCAGACTCTTATCTTCAGGCTGTTTTCTCAGTTAATATAGAACCTATCTTTATAGAAGATGTCGTTTGTACCTTACTTGGAAAGAGTTTCCTTGGAGCTGTGTCTTAAGCTTTGCTGTGCACGTGGGATTGAGCTCATTATCACCAGGAATACTTTTTTCCAAGTTGTGCTGTGCATATATATACCTAAAATAAACTTGAAATTTAACCAACACTGGCTACTAAGGCATTGAACCGAATTGCTTTTGCCTTATCTTCTGCAGATAAACACTCTGATGCCTTGGTGGTCAGAGAGATCTTTGAATATTATAATTTCATTTTTCCCACACTGGTCCTCACAAAAGCAGATTCAAATAAGTAAATAAGTCTAAACCAATTGCTAGGGAAGGAAAAGTTTTTGGAAAGACCACTTGGAGAATATGTTTTACAAGTTTTATTAACAAGGATTCAGAAACTACGAGAAACAGCAAAACGGGAAAAATGAACTCCACTTAGAAAAATGCATGTCACAAATGTCCCTCAAATTTTAAATGTCCCCTCATCCATGCAACTGATGGGAAAAGAATTTCTGCTCTAATTTAAGACACATGACACTTGGCACTATACAAGAGAGATGGACCATAGTTCACTAGTCACACACACTCACAGGCCTTGAGAAGGAGACTGTCCTCACAAAGGCCACAAAGGAATTCAGTAAGCAACCAGTACAAATCAGCCTCACAGGCTTAAGAGAACTAGAGTGGCTCCTCTAACACTGTAGCTGGCAAGGAAGTGGAACCTGCTCCTTAGGAATAAGCAGAAACCATGCATGAGGCCTTCAGAGAGAAGCTGTTTCAGCTGGGAAACCACACCACCAGAGAGGTGTGGGCAGAGTGGGAGAAGCAGTACGAGGTTTTACAGCTATTGAGGCAGCATGTACTATTAAGAGTTCAAAATAACCCACACTAGGGGTGTTACTCAGTAGTAGAACAAGTGTCTGAAATTCAGGCAGCCCTGGAGTTTGAACCCAGCCCAACTAAATAAATAAAAAAAAAAATTAAATTTTGAAAAGAACAAAACAGAAACAGACATTTTTCAAAAAAAAAAAAAAAAACGAAAAGAGAAAATATCAAAGAGGTTCATGAACATTTGCCCAACAT